GGAGATACTGTCCACTACACAAACGAGGAACACAGGCTTAAAAGGAGCTGTGCCCTCCAAAACAGTACCTGTCAGTTACCTGGGTTGACAACCCTGATATGAAAGACTGTGCTGTCACCTGTTTCCATAGTGTAGTGGTTATCACGTTTGTCTTACACATGAAAGGTCCCCAGTTCGAAACTGGGTGGAAACATTCCCTGCTCCTTTTTAACTTGCTTTGAAAAACTGGATCACCAAATTGATTAAAATCACAACCACCCATCATGGATTCAAACCCCGGTCTTCCGCGTGACAGGCGAAGATACTGTCCACTCGACAAACGAGGAATACAGGGTTCAAAGGACCTGTGCCGCCCAAAATGTCGTCCCTGCTGTCAGTTAGCTTGGTTGACAGCCCTGATTTGAAAAACCATGGTGTCATATCTTTCCATAGTGTAGTGGTTATCACGTTCGTCTCACACACGAAAGGTCCCCAGTTCGAAACTGGGTGGAAACAATCCATGCTCCTTTTTAATTTGCTCTGAAAAACTGCATCACCAAAATGCTTAAAATTACAACAACTCCCTGTCAGGGAATCGAATCCCGGACTTCCACGTGCCAGACGGAGATACTTTCCACTATACTAACGAGGAATACAGGGTTCAAAGGAGCTCTGCCCTCCAAAATGCCGTCCCTGCTGCCAGTTAGCTTGGTTGACAGCCCTGATTTGAAAGACCATGGTGTCATATGTTTCCATCGTGTAGTGGTTATCACGTTCGTCTCACACACGGAAGGTCCCCAGTTCGAAACTGGGTGGAAACAATCCCTGCTCCTTTTTAATTTGTTCTGAAAAACTGCATCACCAAAATGATTAAAATTACAACTACTCCCCGTCAGGGAATTGAACTTCGGTCTTCTGTATGACAGGCGGAGATACTGTCCACTATACTAACGAGGAACACAGGCTTAAAAGGAGATCGTCCCGATAAAACAGTCCCTGCTATCAGCTAGCTCGGTTTACAACCCCGATATAAAAACTGTGATGTCACCTGTTTCCATAGTGTAGTGGTTATCACGTTCGTCTCACACACGAAAGGTCCCCAGTTCGAAACTTGGTGGAAACAATCCTGACTTCTTTTTGATTTGCTGTGAAAAACTGCATCACCAAAATGATGAAAATTACAACAAGTCCCTGTCAGGGAATCGAACCCCGGTCTTCCGCGTGACAGACGGAGATACTGCCCACTATACTAACAAGGAACACAGGCTTGAAAAGAGCTGTGCCCTCCAAGTCCCTGTCAGTTACCTGGGTTGAAGGCCCTGATATAAAAAAACTGTGATGTCACCTGTTTCCATAGGGTAGTGGTTATCACGTTCGTCTCACACACGAAAGGTCCCCAGTTCAAAACTGGGTGGAAACAATCCCTGCTCCTTTTTAATTTGCTCTGAAAAACTGCATCACAGAAATGATTAAAATTACAACACATCCCCGTCAGGGAATCAAAACCCGGTCTTCCGCGCAACAGGCGGAGATACTCTCCATTATACTAACGAGGAACACAGGCTTAAAAGGAGATCCTCCCGCCAAAACACCATCCCTGCTATCAGTAAGCTGGGATGACAGCCCTGAAATGAAAGACGGTTGTATCATCTGTTTCCATTGTGTAGTGGTTATCACATTTGTCTAACACACGAAAGGTCCCCATTTCGTACCTGGGTGGAAACAATCCTGACTCCGTTTTGATTTGCTGTGAAAAACTGGATCACCATAATGATTAGAGTCACAACAACGACCCGTCAGGGAATCAAACCCCGGTCTTCCGCGTAACTGTCCACTCTCCTCAGGAGAAACACAGGCTTAAAAGGAGATCTTCCCGATAAAACACCGTCCCTGCTATCAGTTAGCTCGGTTTACAGCCCTGATATAAAAAACTGTGATGTCACCTTTTTCCATAGTGTAGTGGTTATCACATTAGTCTCACACACGAAAGGTCCCCAGTTTGAAACTGGGTGGAAACAATCCTGACTCACTTTTGATTTGCTGTGAATATCTGGATCACCAAAATCATAAAAGTCACAACAACGATCCGTCAGGGAATCAAACCCTGGTCTTCCCCGTGACAGGCGGTCTTGCCCACAATACTAAGGAGGAACACAGGCTTAAAAGGAGATCTTCCCGCTAAAAGACCGTCCCTGCTATCAGTTAGCTAGGTTGGCAGCCCTGATATAAAAAACTCCAATGTCACCTGTTTCCATAGTGTAGTGGTTATCACGTTCGTCTCACATATGAAAGGTCCCCAGTTCAAAACTTGGTGCAAACAATCCCTGCTCCTTTTTAATTTGCTCTGAAAAACTACATCACCAAAATTACAACAACTCCCCGTCAAGGAATCGGCCCCCGGTCTTCCAGGTGACAGGCGGAGGTACTGTCCACTATACTAACGAGGAACACAGGCTTAAAAGGAGCTGTCCCCGCCAAAACACCGTCCCAGCTATCAGTTAGCTGTGTTGACAGCCCTGAAATTAAAAACCATGGTGTAATCTGTTTCCATAGTGTTGTGGCTGGCACATTCATCTCACACACGAAAGGTCCCCAGTTTGAAACTGGGGGGAAACAATCTCTGCTCCTTTTTAATTTGCTCTGAAAAACTGGATGACCAAACTGATAAAAATCACAACAACTCCCCGTCAGTGAATCGATCCCCGGTTTTCCACGTGACAAGCGGAGGTACCGTCCACTATACTAACGACGAACACAGGCTTACCACAAGAAGTCTCAGGATTTTCTTACCCTTCCAAAATGGCCAGAGGACCAACAATAAAACCTCACCACAACGATCCATTTTGTCAATATTGTTCTGTAAATGCAGCAAGGTGAGGCGCTTCCCCCACCTTGTTCAAATGGAATGTGGTGGTTTTCTTCACATTAGCATGCGAACGGTCATTGCTGAGTTGTGTTGTTCACACCAGAGTTTTCCTCATTTGCAGATCAATGGTGAAACGAATCCAGCCAGTTGGCATCCCCTTGGGCATTCTATGTATGATAGCTAAATGGCTTGGCCCTGGGACTTTTAGTTTCCAAGGCCGGTCCCTGAAAATACAGTATTGTCTGACATTAAACTGATCCGTGGGGCAAAAACGTTTGGGGACCGCTGCTTTAGAAAAGAAATGTGACTTGCTTGCATGTACATTTTCCCCCTTCAGTTAGTCTCAACCATTCAGATTCATATACATGTTTGCAGACAGACAGGACCAACAGTATTGGCAAAACTGCCACAGAAAATCTACACTTAGTCAAGAATTACTTGGAAGGCAGTTCAGAAAAGGTTTGGCAAAGGTGCAGCAGAATTTTTGTTTCGGTTACAGTTTACCTGGATTGGAAAGCACGGGTGTACATTTTTACAAGAGTTCAGGCAGTCATCTCCGGGCTTCCCGGAGCTTTGAGGGGTGAACGTTATGTCATGGTCAATGTACTGGCCCCACTCCACAAGCATATGAGAGTAGGCATCGTCTTCACACTTGATAGAACTCCCCATGATCTTTTTGCTGACTTCCTTTGGCTGTTGAAATTCAACATAAAATCATGTAAGTACTTTCAGTGATAACAGAGCTAAATAAATTATTTGCAGGCTAACAATACGCCAGGAATCAAAAGTCCTGATATCGACTCCCCTTTAAAAAATATCCCAAAGTGTTTTATTCTGACAAAGAATAAATAAATAAAAACAACAACAACATTTTGGCATTAAACATGATTTTGAGACAGACCCAAAGTTGAACTTAGAATAAAGTTCTGCAGCTTTATTTGTAATGGAAAAGCCAACCTCTTTTTTTAAGTTGGCAAATTTACTGATACTGATAAGACTTGACAGGGAATCAAGTGAAGATGACTTAATATTTAGTTGTGGACTTTTCTTGCAATAATGTCTGTACATCAAACCTGTGACCCAATGACCGATTTCTTCTTTTTTTTGTTCTTTTTATGTTTTTCCAGTCTTTCGGTGCCACCTCTTTCACTTGTTTTTTGTTTTCATTTCTTTCACTTGGTGAAACTTCTTTATGGGTCTTTATTTTTCTGCATGGCGAAGAATCTCCCAAACAGTTTGGTTTCACCTTTCTTTCATCGACAGACAAAGAAGTGTATCTCTTGATTTCGTAGTTCATTTTGATGATGCTATCAAAGGTTACAGCTTCATTCATTTATGAGTAGAGGTGAAAGAAGTCCTCGAGTAATTCAGTTTCGGGACCTTGTTTCAAAAGAAAATGCTTGAGGCACTTTTCTCCGGCTCGGCTACCTGCTTGTTTAATGTACGCCATCAGGAAAAATAAGTCAAACATAGGTTGAACAATAGGTCGATTTACAAGTATTCTATTCATTGGAATTTAGTTTGTAACTTTGAAAAATTAGTCACTATGCCAGTAGTGTTCTTAAACACAGTAAATATGCATCTTGGACAAAATAGAACAAGACCCTCAATATGTTTGATGGCTGTGAAGTATATGATAACACTGACAATTCAATGCTGAAGACATAGTAGGTATTCACAAGTGGAACAAAAATAATTTCAAGATAAATGTGCCTTTTAATTCATCGGCCTGTTCAAACAATCGTGATCTGTCACGCAAAAATCTGCTGATTTGAAATTGCTGCTGTAAACCCCTCTTAAAAATACATTGAATGTTACATTAACTCACGCGTCAGTATATATATATATATATA